TTCTGAGAGGAGTGTGTCTGGATGGTGTTGTGTGCTCTGCATTTCTGATTTTTATGAATCTGCCTGATGTCTGTGTTGATGTATGATGTGACCTTTGCAGTACAGCGGGGTCCAACAGTCTGAGGCCACAAGTGAAAATATATGCGTCACGTCATTGCAAATTATATTACCAGCATAACAATGTGAGTGAAGCGTTTCACTAAAAAAGGAAAAAAGAAATAAATACATTTGAGAATGAATTAGAGTTTGGTATTTTATTTTTGCTTTAATGACAGATTCTACAGTTAGTTTTTGGACCCTTTTGTACTTAAAGCAAACTGTGTTGTTGTGCTGGTCTTCTTTGCATGTAATTCTTTGCATATGTGAAAGTATACATTTTATTTAAAAAAAAGAATAAAAGTTGAAAGTGTATAAATATTCATACTTTCATAGCTATCAGAGCACCTGACCCCACTCCTACCTAGTTCTCAATAACATAAAATACTTTATGGTATGTATTGTATAAACATTTATTTACAGATATTTATACTCTCCAATACTCTCTTGTAATTTCATCATGGCGATATTTGTGATTGTTCTTCTCGTACAGTTGTAGACGCACAGCCATTTGCACTACAAATAGGGAATAACAGATTATTATTAAATATAGCATCACAGTAGTGATAGTGATGCTGCCTTAGCAACCTAGCAATTTTATGAGCTAGACTCAAGTACTCCAGCATTTGACAAAAGCAATAAACATGGATTCCTGCATTGCTTACTATGCAAACTACAATTGTGTGTCTATCTCTACATACCCTATATCAGTAAATAGAAGTCAGTGGTTGTTGCAGAGGCCGGCGTTATACAGCATGTGTTTGTGTGTCAGCAGGATGATTTATAGTGAGGCTTATGGTAGGAAAAAGATAATCTGCCGAGATCTCAGCATTATTAAACCTCTCTGTCTCACAGAAAAAGTTTGTGTAGATAGAGCGTGTGATTTTTAAAAGCTTTTTCCTATCTTTTGTAACAAATGTCTTTAACAAATAAAGCCTTTACTGATGATATACTCAGTAAAAAAAACTCTCAAACTGAAATGTTGCAGCACATAACCCAATCACAACCAGAAAATAATATATGTTTGTATATTGTATGTATATTATTTGCCGCAATGGTTAACTGAATGGTTAACAAATGTACTGGTGCTCACTTTTTGTTGCAACTGCTGTTGTTTCGAAAATTAACTCATGTTAGAGATATCACTTGTATTGGACATAATGCAAGAGACAGCATCTAGGAATATGTGCATTTGTGTTTTACAAAAATGTGAAAATTGTGTGTGGGGGGTTACATGTTTTGGAAAAATTGTTAGGAAACCCCTCCTGTTGGCTGGTTCCCAAAAAAAAAAAAACCCAAGATAAATTGAAATTTTGTCATTGCATACTATTGTTTGGTGTTGGTAAGATTTCTTAATGTTTTTGAAAGAAATCTCTTCTACTCACCAAGGCTGCATTTATTTGATCAAAAAATACAGTAAAAACAACAATACTATGAAATATTATTACAGTTTTAAATAACTATTTTCTATTGAAATTGATTTTAAAATGTAATTTATTCCTGTAATCAACGCTGAATTTTCAGCATCATTACTCCAGTCTTCAGTGTCACATGATTCTTCAGAAATCATTTTAATATGCTGACTTTTCAAAAATAATGCATAGTCACTCTTTCCATGTCATTAACAGGGCATGACTTTTCAATAAATTGTGTGAGGGACAAGTCGGTAATCACTGAAAATCTTGCTGCCCGTCCTATTTGTTTTTGGCACACTTATGAGAGATGTAAATATGTCAGATTCGTGAGCTCTTTTCAGTCAGTCAGCAGATCTGGTTCTCTGACTCAGTGACTCAGTTGTAGCATTTAACAGCCCACTGGAAGTTGAATTTCAGTCTGTTTTTCACACATAGTATTCAGCTAAATAAAATGTTGAATACAGAGCATGAGTTTTATAGATTATTTGCATGATTTACAAGACAGTGCTTTTGTATCTATAGCTTTAACCCTTATAATGCATTCATGTCTGTTTTGACTTAGAAGATTTACATAAAAATGTCTAAAAATAGATTAAACAATAATTTTTTAAGAGATGTAACCACTTTAAAAAAAATGTTGAGACTTTCCTAAATAGGTCATTTGTGCAAGCAGCTTATTTTGACCTATAGTTACATTAAGTTAAGCGCCCTCTTGCTGGTGTAAAAATAATGACCATCATTACCAATCAAAATGTGGGTTTGTTTAAACGCAATGTGTGGACTTTTATTACACCATCTCTTACCCACCTTTTTCCTATTCAGATGCTTTGGAAAGTGTTTTATGGTGCATTCAATGTCCGAAACATTTTATGAATATGTGTGTTCGCTGGGACTGAACCCATGATCGTTGTGTTGCTTTAATGCAATGTTCTACAAATAACGCTACATGAATCCCAAATTATAATGTGGATAAAAGGGCACAGTGGATTAATACAAAGGTTTCGGTGGCATGTACTGCTGCTGGGGCTCTAATTTAGTAAACACTTCTGGGTCGTATTTCAGGGAAGTGACAAACAACTTATATGGTTATGGGTTGAAGGACTGTAAAAATGTTGCATGTTTTGTGTTCGGGTCATTTGTTAGAAATTAATATGTAGATTTCATGAATTGGGACTGTTCTTGAACAATCATGGGTTGCATATAAAGTCAAATGAATGTAATTACATTTCTTCATTCCAGTGGGGTAGTACAGGTAATTCTCAGATTATCTGTTCTTCTTCTAATTTTATAGAATTATATATTTACATTTAATTTCTCATCAGTATGGAAATATAAATGTTCATTCTTAATCAATCAAAAAGGCGTAAATGCAGTAATAACATGGTAATAATATAGTAACAAAAATGTTTTTACATTCACTCGTTAATGAGAAGTTGCTGATCAGATAAAGTATGGTTTTACTTAAAAATATTTTTCTTTGTTTCCAAACAGTCCTCGAATGTGAACATTGTATGCAGATTTTGAATGCATTATGCAGGTTAAAAGCCTTAAACACAGGGACCAGTTGCATGGAAAAGAGCGATTCTCTTTTCATGTTCCACACAGTATTAAAACAACATGAGGATGAGTAAATCATAGCATTCTAAATTCTACATACTACTAAAAATATATTGCAAAACTAATATTGCAGGTTTCTGTGACAGTTAGGTTTAGAGGATGGAAAATATCATGAAAAGTCCCCACCATGATAGAAAAATGTGTGTTTGTGTGTGTGTATGCGTGCATGTAAACATGCAGCATCGACTGTGAATATTCAGCACCATCATCTTCATGTTTTCCTCCCCGAGGCTTCTCATCATATACATGCATATAGATGTGTGCGTGCGTGTGTGATTCAGTTCTAATGCAGTGCTGTGGAAAAGAGCGAAGGATGGAGAAAGATAAAAATGAAGGATGACAGAGAAAGTGAAAACATTTGTGTCAGCGAGAAAGAGCTTTGCATCTTTCTCTACCTCTCTCACCCATTCCTCTCGTGTGATGAATAGATGTGTCTTTTTTCTCTGCTTTTTTAGATAAAATTAATGATTCATGCTACTAATTTAACAATTCCTCACGGTCTTGACTGGTAATATGTCTATATCAATATAATGAATAGTCCATTCCATACACACATTCACACACACACACACGCACACACACACCGAATGCAAACAAATGCACAGTTGCAACATTTCTATAAATAGACTGGTCGGGCAAACAAAAATAGATGCAGAGAAGAGAAAGCGTGGTTCAGCCGCCTGGATCGAAACATGCTGACAATCTGTCGCTTTCTATCTTTCTGTTTCTATCAGACACATAAGTGAGCAGAGGCTGAAATGAAAAGCAGGCACGGGGAACACATAGCTGATCTTCAACTGGTGTTCTCACAAACAGCATGCATCTGTAATTAAAACACCAATGGTGCTACTATAGAGTATATACTATGCTAGCTGATGTTAAGATGAAGAGTTGACATCCATAAATGTATGGTATAGGGTAATTAATCTGGAATTATTCTGATAATTGATTAATCAGTCAGCTATGCCTTTGAGTAATCGAATAATCGTATTACAAAAAGCCAAATTTTATTTTTTTATATTTTGCTTAAAAAAAGTTATCCTACATCCTGCACATTGTTGCTCATGAACACTGTGTAAATTGAAGGGTATGCAAATGAACGTAATAAATGTGTTTATGTAAGCTCTACGTTATGTGCAAAAAAGGGTTAAATATAAATATGACATTCTAAGACACGAAACAACTGATTGCCCACAATAAGTAAATATAAAAGTAAAAAGACTAAATGTACAGATCAAGTAGACCGATAACCAATATTTTAAACCAATATGTCACAATTAAGAATAACAAGGCCTCTGACAAAACTTTTTTTAAATGCTTTTAAATTATTTAATTGACAAATCGATTTTGAAAATTAACCATTAAATGCTTAATATCTGCACCGATAATCGGCCAGACCGATAATCGGTTGACCCCTACTCATTATACAATGCTACAACACAAATTACTTGTGTTGTAGCATTTTCAATCTGCATTTAATATCCAACAAAAAGCATAGGCTATTTAATGTTATATGTAGCAAAATGTATGTTTTAGTCAAAAGTTTGGCATTAATTTTTCTAATGCGCTCCATCCGTTTTTTGCAAATCCAGTAAGTGAATACAGTCATGTTTAAAGTGTGATGTTATTCAACTGTGGTCTTTAGCGTCCTTGTTAGTGCGTCTGCCTCCCATGCCAGAGACACCGGCCCGAATCCTGCTCAGAGTGAGCGAGTAGAGTAGAAACGGAGGGGTTATACATGCATATTTTAAGACCTAATATTAATTGAATATTGACAATGTAGCACATCTTCGAGCAAATGTTAATTTGATAAAACTACAGTATATCGAAAGTATGGTTCAAATGACTAAATTCTCTCTCTTTCTCTCTTAGAAATCTTGGAAAGTCGGGACTACGTGTTTCTTGCTTGGGTCTTGGTGAGTAACTATAAGCTTTGGATATTTCTCTTTAAGACTAAAATTGCTCAAAGTTTAAACTGGAGAGTCAGTTATTTATTTAAAGCTGAAGTGTCTATTTTTTCCATGTTTAAATGCTTTCATTTATTCCAGCTTATGCACTGACAACTATAAATAAGCCACAACATCCATCTGAGCGTCTAAACCAGCCTGACACAGCAGCATTAGCTCAATCATCGGGCTGAGGGTTTTGGCAGGGATACCTGTATTGTAATGACAGACAGGGGGAATGTTGGGAAATCTGTTGAAATCAATCATTATTTTACCAATTCTGGTAACACTGTCTCACACACTGTCTTTCTCTCCACAGGTACCTGGGTGACGTTTGGATCTCAGATCTCCGATGAGGTGAAAATAGTTTCTTAATTTCACATGATATTGTTTTATATCATTTTGATATTACACACTCATGTCATTCCATACCGTAACTTGTAACTTGTAACTCTAACTTAAAAGAAGAAATTCTGAGAAATGTCAGAGTGTTTTATATATTGTTTTCTATATATGCAGTAGTCAATAAGCAAACATAAACATATCTAATGCATGATAGTCTGCTCAAGTTTAAATACTTTTTCGGTGGTACCTGGAATGTTTTGCACAAAGATGATTTCCTTAAGGGGCCAGATCTCTGTCATCTTCTGCATGTGTTTGTGTGTGGATGCTTTTCTGTAGATGGCGGAGAGTTTGATGACGATAGCCTATGAGAATGGAGTAAATCTGTTCGACACGGCAGAAGTGTACGCTTCAGGCAGGTACGATTCCCAGCAGTGCATTGGATGAGAGATTCTGTGTACTGCATTCTGCTGTTACTCCTCTGCCCTGTCAAGTACTGGACCACAGACATAGATTTGGGTCTGAATATGTGTTCGTCCCTGCCAGTAAACATGTTTTTCTGAATGTATTTTGTGAAAAAGAAGTGTGCTTAATAGTATTGAATGTGGACTTATAGTGTACTTAAAATAAAAAAGTACATTTTTCATAAAAATGGTCATTTTAAATAATATAATATTAATTAAATAAAAGGACACTTAAAATAAGTGTATTTAGAAAGCATGTTCATAAGTTTCTTAACACATAAGTAAGCTTTGACTTAAGTCAACTGGACCCACTTTATATTAAGTGGCCTTAACTACTATGTACTTACATTTAAATTAATAATTTGGTACAATGCACTTATTGTGTACATACATGTTTTTACATTGTACTTATATTTAAAAAATACCTGCATGTAACTACATCTGTAATTAATTTCTGTAATTACATTTATAATTACACAGTTGACCCATCCCTTACACCTTAACCCACCCTTAAACCTACCCATACCAACAAACCTGTCTCTAACCTTACCCGTTTCCCACCTCAATAGCAGCAAAAGTGTTTTGCAATTTAATATGAACACAATAAGTACATTGTACTTAATTTTTGATGTAAGTACATAGTAGTTAAGGCCACTTAATATAAAGTGGGGCCAGTGAACTCAAAAATTTTACTTTACAGTACATTTAAAATCTTTGTTTTAATAATATTTTGTCATGCTTTAAAGGAATAGATCACCCAAAAATTAAAATGAAAAAAGTACTTGATTTAAATTTTTACTGTAGTAATATGTTATTCAATATTACATTTAAAGTTAATAAATGATAAATATACTAAACTGCAACATCATCATTACAAATGTGCAACTACAAATATGTTTTGAAATATAAGCTTCAATGAAAATTAAATGACATTGAAGTATATTTTTGTTTTCCATAAATGTAATATTTCCTTAAGCATTCGGCCCCACTTTATATTAAGTGGCCTTAACTACTATGTACTTACATCAAAAATAAGTACTCCTTGTGTTCATATTGTATTGCAAAACATTTTTGCTGCTATTGAGGTTGGATATGGGTAAGGTTAGGGACAGGTTCGGTGATAAGGGTAGGTTTAAGGGTGGGTTAAGGTGTAGGATGGGTCAACAGTGTAATTATAAACGTAATTACAGAAATTAATTACAGATGTAATTACATGCAGATATTTTTCAAATATAAGTACAATGTAAAAACACGTATGTACACAATAAGTGCATTGTACCAAATGATTAATTTAAATGTAAGTACATAGTCGTTAAGGCCACTTAATATAAAGTGGGACCAAGCATTCTTATAAGAACTTTTATTCTTAATAAGCTCTCTCCTTATTAAGTACTCTTCTTTTTAACAAGGCTCTGGTTGTTTTATTTTTACTTCTCTCTTTCTGACTACACAGAATTGAGATCTTCTTTTGTAGGCAGTGGTGTAGTGCTGTCCAGTCCTGCTCCTGGAGGGCCTTCCTGCAGAGTTCCGCTCCAATCCTCCAATTAAACAGATGTGTTGGAGCAGACTGGAGCTAAACTCTGCAGGATGGAGGCCCACCAGGAATAGGATTGCGCAGTCCTGATGTAGTGTGATATAACCTAGCTACTTAGGTTAAAATAAAGGTGGAGTGAACTGAACAGCTGTTTGGAGATCTTTGTGATTGGAGGGATTATGTAACGACATGCTGATCGTCATTTGTAGCTGTGTAGATTACATAAATGACCTTTGAGAAGTCAACATGTCCTGTGGTGTGACATGCTATACTCCATCTAAAACCATTTTCAAATAACTAATTCTTTTATAATTATTATGCTTGTGTAACGGAGGCCTGCTAGTAAGAGCTGTGCAGGTAAACCTCACTCTCCTGATCTCAAGAGGCAGACTACTACATGCCTCCTGTTGTCTGATATGTCTGTTTTTTAGCGAGTAAAAGAACGTTTAGTATAATTGTGAAAGTATGCACCTTCAGCTTGTGGTTTTTACTGATGTTTATAAAGTAACTAAGTTTATTTTTTATTTTTGTATAATTTAAGATGAATATTTAATGGACTAAAGCAATTTAGGTTTATTTGATTATAATTATATCATTTTTGTTAGAAAATGTATGTTAAAATATGTGTATCAAATATGATCATCAGGCTTTTGAGGAATGGTTATTTGTTCAACTCTCAGTCATCACTGTATTGCATTGCATTATATTTTTTATTCCTCAAATATAAACTCCATATTCTTCTGTATTATACTACAGTATATGAGCCATAAAACCCTGATGAAGCAAATATGATACTCAAACAAAAAAAATAAAAGAACCACATGCACAACTTTTTAAATATCTTGTCTAAAGTTTCAGTAAATTGTTTCATTTTGAAAAATTAGATTTTATATGTCAGGCAGTAAAGGGCCTGTCGAAATTGATGTTGATTAACAAAAGTCCATACACATACTACCCAACTATATTGTGTATTTTGAAACTCATTTTATAGTTGATCAGCGTTTATTTATTTTTTTTTTCAAATCTATTTAGGAAGTAGTTTGGAAAGAGTCAAGCCAGGTCACTCTTAAATGCACAGGTCCAGGGATGGATTATGACATATGACATAGGCCCCCTTCGGTATTTTTTCCTTTTTTATTCGAAATATCTCCAAACGATTCTCAAATATGTGTAAGTAAATTTTGCATCTTTATAGGTCATGTTAGTTGAACTATAATGGGCAATGGGCAAAGTAGCCTAAGTAGCCTAATAAGTGTTAGTGTAAAGATGGGGATACTGAAATTAACAGTATTTATTTTTAATGTGCAATAATTGTATTTATGGGCTACCGCTTAATAGGTGCAATCATTTGATTTAGATGCCGCTAATCACCATGTGCATTATCAATATCTATATGCCGCTGTCAATTCCTTTTAGTGCTATATTTTTAATGTAGCCTATGCTGTAGCATCTTTCATTATATTTTTATATTTTTTATATTTTTATACTGATTCTGTACAGTAGGAGGCTACATGTTTTAGTTAGTACAGTATTTATAAGCCAGTGGAACGGAATTTCGTTCATATGTGCACTCTGTGTACAGTTGAATGACAATACAACTATACCTACTATCTATTAATTACGCATAAAACCCATCTTTTTACTTAAGTACCAGATATGGGTGTCATGCCATAATATTTTTAATACGACTGACTTTGTATTTAACGTGGATTTAATAAAAACACTGTAAGTTACTAATTATAACACTTTCAATGTACAGAAAGAGAAGAACATTATCATTGACTTCAGTCTAGCCAGAGTTCAAGCACTCTCAAAAACTCCCATTATAATCACTGAAGCAGTTTACAATGTGAAATGAATCTCTTACTTACTTTCGTACATTCACATCTGCACTTTGTTGTTTCTGATGAGAAAATTCGCCAGAGAGCAGAATTCAGTCAGGGAGCGCGCACACTGAACAAAACACAGCGTTTCAGCAATGACTCATCTGAACGCCTCTGATTGGCCATTGAATTAATAAGCTCAACAGAATCGTGTGTGATTGGTCATAATATAATGATCAGCGCTGTAAAAACGCGTCTGTCTCTGGCTCAGCGCCAGCCAAAGCGCAAACGCAGGTTTGAATTTAGCAGCTGATGATGTGCCGCACTGAACGTTCTAATCACACTGGCGTGATCGTATCAAATATAAAAAAACATTATTCAGCTATTTTTTTTTTGTCTTTTTGGAAGCTGCATTCAAAATCCAATTGGCTCAACAATCTCCGTCTGATTGGGCATGACAGAGGCGTCCCCCACGGTTGAAATCGCTTTCT